CCTTAAACCCTAAACCCTAATCCCAGGGTTAGGGTTTAGAGAGGGAAAAAACCCTAAACCCTAAACCCTAAAGGGCTCCAGAAGATCTCAGGTCCATGAAGATTTCGGCGAGTCGCCTCCCGAGCCCTGGTGCTTGGAGGAGGTGGCTGAGCTGGTGCTTTCTGTGACTGGGTCCTTATTTTTGTTCCGATATATAGATATATATATATATAGATATATATATATACAGATATATAGGTATATAGATATATAGATATATAGATATATAGATATAGGGGTCTTGAGCCGCTTCATGTGGGGGTGGGATAGGGATGTAAGTAGAATGCTATGTTTATGTCCTTACTACTGACTTCGTCTTGAAGTTAGAATTCTCGGAGTGTCTACGACTTCTACGGTCGGTGCATATGGCTATGCCTAAAGCTACAGGGGGCTGTGATTTGTCTTTGAACCCAAGATTTGGCTTGCTAGTAGGCGCCAGCATTATGGAAGAGGCGATTTGACGATTCATGATTTTATCCCTGCTTCAGAACTCAGGTGATGCTGCAGCAGGGTCACAAGACTCCCACTCACATGGCAAAGATCCTGGATGGGCATGTAGAGGTGCTGATGAAGCTGAACCCCGAGGATGAGACTGCAGCCGACAGCTTCGGCAAGGCTTTGGCCAAATGCGTCTTCGAGTTTTGGCGCGCAAACGGGCAGCGGCTGGAGCTCACGATCGATTCTTTGCTGAACAGGAAGGTGCTGTCTCCTCGGCCTGTGGCGGAGGTTGCACTGTTGAGCAAGGACTGTGATTCCATGCACATACGCAACGTCCTGCACACCGCTGTCAGGAAAGGCCTGGACCGTCTGCAGTCAGCACGAACAGAGCTGGCTGTTGCAAAGAAGTTGGTTCAGGAAGACGCCTTGGAGAAACGCCGGACCGAGCTGGACAATGCAATTCAGCAAGTAGCATCTCTCTTCTTGTGCATATTCACCGGCTTGGTGAGAAATGTGGCGGACGCCCGCAATGATGTCAGCCTTTGCAAAATCAGGCTGCGTAGAATTGCAGCCGTTGGTCGCAGATACCTCTCAGACATCAAGCCGCTAGTGGATGCTGCGGGGAGCAAGATTCCTGGGGTCTCCAGCAACCCGGACATCGCCGAAGTCTTCGCGACGCTAGGCACCTTATGATGACAGATGACCTATACAAGAAACTCTGTACAGCAGGCATCGAGCAGTTTATGAAAAGACGTTAGCGCAGTGTCTCGCGAATCGGCTATGCAGCTGCTGAGGTTTGTGGTGAGTTAGCCTGTCAGGTATGTCAATCATACGAACACTCGTGCTTACACTCGCAGCGACAAAGAAAACAGAACCAGAGATTAACGCAAGTTGTGAAATCATTCAATGCAAGCTGCTTTCGATGCACTGACGATATCTCCTTAACCTAAACCTCACGAATAGCAGCTGAACCCTACTGTAACCCCCTAAACCCTAAACAAAACCTTATATGTCTACAAGACCTGAACCCCATAATGCCAGAGGGTCGCTCCAAGCCTTGAGGCTCCCTGCGAGGGGCCCACGAGAGAGTAATCATGTAAAGATGCATATGCACATATATATATATATGTATACATACATAAACATATATATATATATAATATGTACACATGATGTAGTAGACATGCTTACAATGATACATGTGCATATGAGCTTGTTTTTCTAAAGGCATATCATGCAGTCTATAGATAGATAGATAGATAGATAGATAGATCGTCTTGATACACGAGAGAGAGAGAGAGAGAGAGAAAAAAAAAGAGAGAGAGAGAGAGAGGGGGTTGCTTTAACCCTGAAATCCATGGCGGGGGCCACATCCCTCTCAGGGACATGAGCCTGATGAGCACCCAACCCTCAACCCCAAAAAAGCGCAAGCCTTTGAGCCCGGACACGCCTCCAAAGCACTCCCCCCCCACCCCACCAACACGAATCATGAAGCCCTGACGCTCCTGAAACCTTCGAAGCCCCCCTTCTGACAGGACATGCGCCTTCCCGAGAAGCAGCTTTTTGGCTTGCCGGTCACTTTCGATCTCCCGGAGGCCTCAGCAGGGATCCGGTGTTGGGGTTTCTGTCTGGAAAATCGGCACCTTTTGTAAGGTCGTTTCGAAGAATTTGACATTTAAAGGCTTCCTTGAAGGAACCCCCGAAGGATCCCGTGAAGTTAAACCCTTACAAGGTGTTTTTGGGAATTTGTTGGGAGGGGGATTTGAGGAATTCAGTCCCGGGCTTGAGCTGTTTCAGGTTCTGGGATTGTGAGGTCTTTTCAGGTGTAGTCAGGTGTAGGCCGTATGGTTTAGCGGCTAGCCAGGGGCGAGTTATAGGGTTTAGGGCTAGTTTAGGGTTTAGGATTTGCATAGAGCTTAGGCGGCGCGGGTGTGGGATGTCAGGTCGCAGCCTTCGGGGCTTTTTCGTGCAGATCCAAGCAGACTGATCTCTTGAGAGTAGAACTTCGGTGTGCGTGAGTTTGGGTGTTGGGGTGTGTGGACTTGGATTTTTCGGGAAATTTCAAGGCATGTTGGTGCACAGCCGTGGATTCTACAGGAATAGCGGGGTATAAGGTCTCAATTTGGGGACTGGCTTTGGAAGTTGGCTTTGATTCTTTGGTGGCGCAGGTTCCTTGATAAACCGTCTATCACAGTTTCATGGCTCTTGGTAATATGCATAGGTCATAGGTGACAAACAGAACAGTCTGTGACTTTTTCGGGGCCCTCCTCGATCCGAAGCTCTGAAGCTCTGGCATGTCGTGGCAGAAGCAGCGCTGGTCCGAAGTGATGCCAACCTGGACCCTGAAAGTATGTAGGATAATAGCCGTTTATGGGCTTTGGGCCATTATTTCGCCTACTTTGGGGGGTAGGAACCAATAATTCCAATGGAAAGCCTTGCCATGCGGGAGCCAAAAACTATCCCATAGCTGTACACGGCTGGTTTCGGAAACTTGGGGAGGTTCATCTAGGTCTAGGGGCGTCGTGACTCATGATAGGCTCCCCTAAAGCCTAAACCCTAAAACCCTAAAGCCCTAAACCCTAAAACCCTAAAGCCCTAAACCCTAAACCTTGTGTCCTTTGGACTCTTGAAGTATCCTACATTCTTTTCGAGCCCTGAAGGCCCTAAGGCTGTCGGCCCCGGACCTTTCGGCCCTTAGATTAGGGTCCCTTTTTAGGGTACCTTAAAGGGATCTATAAGGGTTTCAATAGGGTTTCTATAAGGGTACTTATGGCTAGTTCTCAGACCCCAAAAGCGCCAAGAGGTCGATGGCATCAAGCAGGGAGACAAGCTGCTGCTGAAGTGGAAGGGTGCGGACGTTGCGGTCCTGGAGGCTTCTTCCATCTGGAAGCCCAACAAGGCAAGCTCGGCTTTCTTTCGCTCTGGCGCTTGCAGGGCTTCGGAAATATCGGTTGCAAACTGTGTCCTTCACCCATCGACATGTGAAGCAAGCTTTGCTTTGTGACTGCCAGCAATTGCAGCTTCTGCTCAAAGCCTTAATCTCCTTCCTCGCTTCTAGTTCCTGCGAAGCTTTCCGTGCGGAATGCCAGAAGGTCGGAATCTTGTGACATCACGTCAGCATAGTTTTCGGTCGAGTCCGTCCCCATGTACACACCCAACCGAAGCTCGAGCGAATCGGAGGAACAGCCAATGCCACAACTGCCCTGTGAATCCTGGGTTTGCTCTGGCTGCAGCCTCCATCCTATCTTGAACCCCTGGCGTGGCCCAGGATCGTTTAGAAGCTCTGTATAGAAGTCTTTAAAACTCAATGACATTCATCAAGAGCCGACAGAACCCGAAAGACAAGCCAGGTGGTGGAGGCCAAGGAGTGCTACGGCACTAGCAGCCTCGAGCACCCCACCGTGGCCTCCTTGGTGCAGGACTTTTGCTAATCTCCCGGCTCTGGGGGCGCCGGCATTCTGTGCTAGGCTTTCGTTTGGGGTTTAAGGTTTTGGGGGGAGGAAGTTCTTCAGCAGTTTAGGGCCTACGAGGTCTAGAGTTGCAGAACTTCTGCAAAGTTTTCTTACGATGCCCCCCACTCCGGGCTTCGTTCTGTGGGGCTGGCACACTTCCACGTGCCGGGGTTAGCACTTCTGCTGAGCATTCCGCTTCGATAGCTCTGGAGAACCCAGAGCTTGTAACCTACAGCAATTCTAGTGCAGAGTAGTTATCTTATAGAATGATAAGTATCCCAGCCCCAATTAGGGCCTCCTTCTAAACCCTAAACCCTAAATTACTTCTACAGAAGGAATGATGAAGGATCTGGGGGGCCGTGTTGTCGTCCTTTCACAGGGATTGGCACTCAGGGCCCCGGGATGGTGTCACCTTTTCTCGGGAGAGCCTACTTCATTAAATCCTATAACAAGAGCCACGGTCTAGGGTTTAGGGTTTAGGATTTAGGGTTCTGGGTCCAAAAAACTTAAAAAAAGGGGTTTAGAGTACGGGCCACCGAGACAGGGACTACCAGGGACCACTGCAAGGCAGGCTCCGGGTCAGGTTTCGTGGGGCTCGGCGGATGCAGGAGATTGGCAAATTCTACGTCGGCGGCAAGATCCATGGGTTCGAGCTTCCTAAGCTACTCGGAGGCTTTCGAGTGTACCCTAAAGCTCTAAGTTATTTATGTGTTGAGATGAAGTCCTTCTGAACAAAGAGATTGTAAAGCGATGCACAAGCTCGCCTTGATTCTGGGCAGCATCTTTTGCTTGAAAGAGTGAGGTTAGGAGGACAGCGCTCAGCTGTTGGAGGATCACCGACCTCATCTGAATGACATTTGCGTCGTTTGGTTTCGCCTCCATCCCAGCACCCTTTCCTAAACACGACTCTGATTTTGGGGAGCCCCTAGACTCAACCCTCAAAATTCTACACACCCCCAAACCCTAAACCCCAAACCCTATAAACCCTAAACGAGTGTCCGAGTGTGAGCGCCGAAACCCAGCCTCCCTCTGATTCGGCCAAGGTTCGGCTACCCTACGCAGACCCCGGCTGAGGTCCGGGCTACGCTGCCTGAGAACAAGCAGGCGCCTTTGGGTTTTAGAGGTGTTTTTTGGATGAAGGGTCTCAGATCTACACATGCTCCCTGGGTTGACAGTCTCTGGCGATTGCACAAGCCTAGATGCAAACAATGGGTTTAGGGTCAGGCGCTTTGGGGTTTTGGGAGTGTGGGTTTTGAGGCTGTTGAGGTTCGGGAGTCCAGGATGGGGGATGAACAAAAGTGGGTTTTGAGGCTCGGGGTCTTCGTATGTCTTGATTTCCGGTTTTACAGTTCAGGGTGTCAGGGTGTCTCCAGGGCCTCTTTCAAGCACCTGTACGTGTTCAATGTATCTCGATGGGCCGTTTGAGCTTTGAGTCATTGAGAGTTTCAGCGTGTTATTAGATGGTGGGATCCTCATTCTAGTGACCGGAAAAAAGGTTCCCCTCAATTTTCTTAGCTCACAATTCAGTAATTCAGTTCTCCATTACCCAACCTCAAGTCCCCATCTTCATTTGCTATAAAAGACGTTGCCGTCAATGTGCTTGGACACTATGAAGCCTCTGATGAACTAGGATGTTTCCACATGGAAAACGGCATGATCACGAGAAGGGATGACAAGTGCGGGTATACTGGAACCCTGCCTGCGCTAAACCCCCTTAACAAAGCAAGAAGGTGGTTGCCTTCCAGAACCGCAACCCTATCCACCGTGCCCACTTCGAGCTCCTGGTCTGTGCCCAGATGCTTGGGAGCATTGACGTGGTAGGTGCCGAGTTGCCTTCAGTGTCCGTACACGTTATGGTCCTTACGTTTGAGGAATAGGCTTCCAAGGTTGAGTTGAGGTTAGCGGAACCGGTCGATCTCAGCGTGGGCTACAAGTACAGTACGCACCAACTGCGAATTGCGACATGGACACTTCCCGACAGGCTGTTGTTGCAGTTTGCAATCTTCCAACTCACGTGCTGCACCACCCTAGACTGCACAGGCACCCTGTGTGAGTCAGACTGCTTGACCAGTTCGGCCGAGTAGAACGAGTAGAAATCCTCTGTTTGCGCTTGCAGGGTACTTCCTCGGTCAATCGTTCCTGCTTTCGGTGGAGACTGTATGAAGCTGCAACATCAATGGAGCACCTGCTCAAAGAATACGCGTACTGTGCAGGAGCTCGTAACTAGGAGTGGCAAGTTCATCTTCAGGATAACGGTACGAGAATCAATGTAGAACCTGTCCTTAGCAAGACGTGACGGAATGAAGAAAATGTAAGTCTCTGACCGTAGGTTTTCCTAAAGCTGCTTAGCATGTACGTGCATTCCTTTTGTCCAGGAAGGACGTGCAGGATTCCGTCCTTCTTGTTCATCCTACTTGCGGACCCACCCAGCCGGGTGACATCGACGGCATCGTGCGGATCCAGACCTATGAGGCCCTGAAGGCGGAGACCGCGCAGGAGTACCCGATGCTGCTCGAACCGAGTCGAGCGGCATGTTTCTTAAACATGATCCTCCCAGTCCCAAGTTGGTGGCTTTGATTCGTTTTCACATAACTAATAATTAAGGCTTCTTGGGTCGTTCAGTTCTTTCGCGTCGTTGAGCAGTCCTCTCTCTCTGTGTCTTGTGATCATGTCTTGCAAGGTGTTGCTGCTGCTGCTGTTGTTGTTGCTGTTGCTGGTGCACTTGCTGCAGGTTGTTATCTGGATGATTGCTTGTGTGCGCGTGGCTTTCTGCACCCTATTTGCTGACCGTTCTTGCCTCGAAGTTGCTACTCATTAATAGCCAGTAAAAGTCCTAAGCCCGAAAACCTCAGATCTTGTGGAAGGCCTTTCGAATTTGCGCGCTTTGTGCCCCTGTACATCCAAATAGTGCTGCAGAAAGTTCCATGGGATGCAGGCGATAAGGTACTGTGGATCCCGTTATCCTGAAAGCTCCTAGAGCTTCTATGCTAGTTCCTCTCTTTGGTTTTAAGCATTAGGATCCAACAAAACAAGGACTTACAAGGTGGACTATAGGCCTGTTTCTAAGGTTCCGGTGGGCCTACTTGCCATACAGCATGAAGATGGCTGGACCTCGCGAGGCTGGACGCGCATTTTTGCGCGGCTCCGGGTGGAAGGTTCTCGTTTCCGGATGGAAGATTTTACACGAGGAGACCTGAGATGCAAGGTTCGAAAGGGGCAGCTTGTAACCCTGTGCTTACTTCGAGTTTTAGGGGTGGTATTCCTAACTACGGTTTCATTTCGAGTAGCAGAGCAGTAGCAGTTTTAAGGCCGGTTTGGGGGATTCAGGTTTTCCCCGACATGCAGGGGTTTGAATGCTGGTTCTTGCAAGGCCATCCAGCACATGATCATCCGAAAGAACTACGGCGCCACTCACTTCATCATCGGACGCGACATGGCTGGTACGAAGAGCCTCAGATGCTTTGAGCCAGCTTGTGTTTTCCTGCATTCCCGTTCAGATTTCTTCCGCCTCTAACTGCAAAGAGAAATCCCTGTTGCTTCGGCTTTGGTTTTCGGGTTTCGGTCTGGGCGGCTCAGGAGCACCATTGATGGCGAGGACTTCTACGGACCCTATGATGCCCAAGAGACCGGCAAGAAGTATTCCGCAGAGCTCGGCGTGACTGTCACTCACTACGAGAACATGGAGCCTTGTCATGAATTCTATTTAACCCTCGGAACCCCTAGCAGTTGGTTAGGAAAGGAGAAGCCCTATGGCTTCATTCAACTGCCGTCTTGGGTGCTGAAGGTTTCGAAATTAGCTGCTTATACGCCCTTACTCAGTTGTTCATGAAGATGTAGATCATGCTAATTTTGATGATGACGCTGACGTGATGGTGGTGATGATGATTCTGATGATTACCTGACGACGAGGAAGGCGATGACGAATATGATGATGGTGATGATGATGAGGAGGAGGAGGATGATGGTGGTGGTGATGATGACGATAATGTTCCTGATGATTACGGTGTTGATGATGATTATGATGATGATAATGCTGATAATGATGATGATGATCATGATGACGATGGTCATGATGATGATGATCATCATCATCATCATGGTGAAAGCGATGATGCGATGATGACGAACATGATGATGGTAATGGCGATTCTGCTGCCGGTAAGAACGATGTCGCTGCTGTTGTTAATTGTGGTGACGATGATAATGATGATGATGATGATGATGAGGTGGTGGTGGTGGTGGTGGTGGCGTGGTGGTTGTTAGCATTCGGATAAGGATGCTGTGCTAGTGATGATTCTAGAGGTGGTGTCTTGTGTCTGTGGCAAAGCTCAGGGCGAAGTTGAGGTTGACGTTGGTTATTGCGGTGGTGATGAACTGCTTTCTGTAAGAATGAAAGGGGTTTGATAATTTGCACGCGGTTCCCTTTCGCGAGCCAGTGAAGGTCTACGTTGGCCCAGACGAGGGCTACGTGCAGGAGAGTGTGGCCAAGAGCAAGGGCGGCTTGCGATAGAACAAGAGGGGACACGATGCCGGATCCTTCACAACTAGAAGCAAGATAGCTGTCCTTGATTCTGAACCCCTAAACCCGAAACCCCAAATCCACCCTACACCCTAACCCCTAAGCCCTAAACCTAAGCAGGTGGTGGTCCTCCGCTCCAACATTGCACGAACATAGACCGTAAGACTCAAGTTCTTATCTGTGATGTACACTCTGGAAGCAGTGATGCATGACTGAAAGTTGGGGTTTAGGGTCTAGGGCTTACGGCTACCAAGGAACTAACTCGCAGATTCAATAGTTTAAGTTCGACGGATCGGTGGGTCCAAGTCAACTAGTCAAGCCAAGCCCAAGTTGTGACGTCACATCCAAAGCTTCAACGGGCCTAGAGCTTTCAGCTTGTCTAGGGAATGAGGGGCTGCTTTGATGGTTGATTGTTTGACTCACCTGCTTTGGGACATGTTGATGGTCTCGGCATGTCTCGGCTTCAGAAGCTTAATTAGCACAGGATACCATCAACTAGAAGCAGGGCGTATCATTGGCTATACAGTAAGCAGTATACAGTATACAGACCAACCACCTCAGGGTTGTAAGGTGGCACCCTGAGCAGTTTAATTAGTTCATGAGATTGTAAACCCCTAATCTTAAACCCTGTAAACTTGAAGCACACTGACTTGAACAGCTGGCTGAGTGTGAAAACAAGCACGCTGAAAATGGCCTCAAAACCCTAGACCCTAAACCCTAAACCCTAAACCGTACGTAGCCAAGGCTACAAGGTGGTGAAGCTCTCCGGCACCGAGTTCCGCCGTCGCCTCCGCGCCGGCGAGGACATCCCGGAGCCCCTTGGCTTTGTTTTTTGGGTGGGGGAGGGTTTGTGCTGTGTTGTTTCTCACTAGGATTTAGGGTTTGCAATACAGGTTTCAATTAGTATGTTTCTGATAGGGTTTGGGCCCATTTTGCTAGGATGTCGTATTTATTTGTTGCGAAGTGCCCGCACTGAAATACCACATGCTTCGTTGCAACCATTTTCGGGTGCCCTGAACCCTAAACACCAAGATGGCCGATGACAGGTGGTTTGCATTCAAGTCCGTGGTGGACATCCTCCGAAAGGCAGGAGACAGTGCCTTCTGTGCGTAGAGCAGGCGACCGCTGCTTTCGCAGCATCTCTGATGCTGCGAATAATCCCGACTTAGAGCTTGTTCTATAGTTTTGTGACCCAACACCTCTCAGCCCAGATATCACTAGCTTCCCGAAATGCTGTCGAACTCCATGCCGGGTATCTGCAGCGTGTCCCGGGAAGACGACCATCTACATGGCCTCTCGCCGTCTGTGCTACAAGGAGCCAGGCAGGTCGAGGATCATGTGGCAATCCTTTCACGGCCGGTGGCTGCATCCCATGCCGTGTCGGGTATCGCTTGCTCACAAAATGCGACGCGAGCGAGTGACTCAGTGCTTCTAACCGAGAGTCTCAATCCCGCAGTGATGCAGAATGCGAACGATCCTCCCCCGAACAAGCCCGAACACATAAACGAACAACTTCACAGCTGGTCTGCCCACTTTCCAGCATAATTACAACAATCTAGTGGCGGCAACTACGAATCGCATTCTGCGATCACAAATTTTGCCTTTTCCTCCGTGTGGCAGTCGGCTGCCCGTCAAGCCCTCTTGAAGATTTCATGCGCGATTCAAAAGCTGCTACACCCGGTTTTAGATTTCGGGTAGTTCTCCCGGACTGGACCTGGGAGATTTGATGTTGAGGTGCTGCCCGCTTAGCTAGTTGAATTTCCATCGGAGCTTCATGGGATTTGGGGCTGCGCACATGCTCTTGCCAAGGCAGACAACCCAAAGCCGTTGCACCCTAACGGCCGAAGATACACGAAGAGGATGTAATGTCAAGGCCTTGCTTCTGAAACATGCCTTCCCAGCCCTTTGGCAGTGCCCTAGAAATCCAAGGCCTTCGAAACATGAATATACCAAAGCCTGCGTGCCTTATCCGAGCCATATGCCTCTGGATTCCAATGGCCTACAATTTTCTCGTTCACGCCTTACAGTTCTGGGGTCATCCTAATCCCCGTACCTGCACACCTTCTAGTTTATAATCATAAACCCTAGACCCGAAATCATGTACCAGTAGGGCTTGGAGAAAGCAGCCTACGATGTTCACCGTCACCCCTTATGCTTAGAAGGCCACCCCTAAAACCTAAACCCTCAATCCGAGCACAGCTAGGCAGAGCCTTTTCGTGCTAGCAACCCAAAGACTCCAAAAAACGCCGCTCGAAATGAGACTTAGACCTTACCTGGACCCTATAAGGAGATCATAATAAGGAGCCCTAAGAAAGGAAGGTTTTATAGGGTTAGGGTAGACCTTAAGCGTCTGGTGGAGACCTTCATCTGGCTCCTGCTTCAATAAAAAATAGACATTAGCGTCTAGAGTGGTCCTTACTATGGTTGCTGTGCATTCCTTGGCCAAAAGGTTTTGGAACTTTGGGGTCTTTACCGAACCTCCATCTCTCACAGAATTATTTTTTAAAAAAATTACAATGAGGGTTTAGGGTTTAAGGTTTCACGTCTCTCGTGATGAGGACCTATAATTTGTCACATCGCTGAACGACCGAGGAAGTTCCCGGACCTGTCTCGGGCTCTCTGATGGTATCTGGCCTTGCGCTGTTCGGAGCTTCCAGACTGCAAGTTCCTCTCTACCTGGGGCCCCAAAAATTTGCGGAAGACTAGTTGATAGGTGCTGGGGCTCTTATGCTACCTACTTGGGGGGGGGGGAGGTAAACCCTAAACCTCGCCAAGGCATGTCCGAGTGTGAGTGCTGAAACCCCTCTAGAAGGGCTCGCTAAAGCCTTATCGAACCCTTACGGAACCCCCAACCCGGTAGGGTTTAGGGTCTAGGTGCCGCCGAAGCAGCTCTGTCAGTGTAAGGCTTCGGTCGTTCAGGTTTGGCCCTGTCGGGATGTTCTTGTCTTAGGATGCCTGAAAGTTTCGGGAGGATGCGGATGTTTAGAGTTTCGCAGTGCAGGGTCTTGCCTCAGATGGCGCTTCAAGAATGTGTGTTTCTTGTCGCTGGCTGTAGTTCGATTTCCAGTTGGTTTCCGTCGGACTTCAGTGGAGGAAGTGAATCCATTTGCCTCCCCCCCCCCGCCCAATGTCCTCACGTCCCACATTTTGTTCCATTAAATCCCTAAACCCCGAAGCCTAAGCAATCAGCCCTAATCACCAGACCCTATAGGCAACCCCAGAAAGTTGGAACATGGATTTAGGATAACCATAGTTTTCCTTTAAGGGCATGAGGATAATGATGTTCCAACTTTCTGTCTTCTACTTTAAACTTCTGACACCAGAGCCAGAGAGCCAGGCCTTGTTCTACATGCGCCCAACTCGATGGGTTCTGCAGAAGACGGTGCTTCCAGCGCCAGGAATCGGCGGCAAGTCTGATCATTCGGATACGTGATGAGATGATGCTGGTGGTGGCGCCTATAATCCTTCCGATGGTCAGTGTCGATGATGCGTGTCAACATCAACCTCCTGACCTCTTCCCATCATCGCTTGCACTTGCCTTAAACCCTAAAGCCTAAACCCCTAAACCTTAAACCCTAAACTTATCACCCGCATCATCTTTTCACCCTCAGAGCCGCCATGGTCCGCCATGGTTATCGCGATCACCCCTTCAACCTTTGACGTCTTGTCCCCGGTTTCGCAGTCTCTTAAATGCAACGCCTGATTGATGCTTTTTTGACTTCAACTAGCTAGTAAATTCTCACCATGGAATATATGGGGATGAGTGTTGATAAGTCAACAGAGCCTCTAAGAACACTCTAAACCCCATTGGCGCCTTCTGAAAAACCAGATGCAAACCCGTATCAGTAGCAGTCATCGAGGTCGTTGCCCTTTAAAAGAAGCTAAACCCTAAATGAAGTGGCCGGCTCGATCAAGCCTCCAGGATGCCTTCCCGCACATCGGACCTCGGAACCGCTTTTTCGGGTTCATGCTTCAAGTATCCCGAACTTCTGTTCGAGTTTGGGGCTTAGGGTTTTGTGTAGGGATTCTATATGTGGGTTCAGGCCGCCAGCCCACGAGCCGTGAAGCCTAACCGGAGCCCCTGCCGCCCAGTGCTGAGAACCGCAAGCTACACCTCCCTGAACCCCAAGTCCAAAAGACACCAACCCAAAACAGACGACCCATAATATTAGGGTTTAGGGTTTAGGGTTAATCATAGTATTAATTCCCATACCCCAAAGCCCCAAATCCTAAACCCTAAACCCTAAACCGTTCAAAGGCAGAACTAGACGTGCAGGAGAGGGCCCCTCCAAGGAGACTCGCGACAATGGCCGCCAAGACAGACCAGTGGTTATTACTTACTACCCACAGGCTCCTTAGTAGTTCCTTTTTGGGATTACCTTGTGGGATTCTAAATATAAACCCCCAAGAAGGAACTACTTAGGAGCCTATGAGTAGTAGAGTCCCATGTACTTTTGGGATTTAGGGGTGAGGGGTTCAGGGGCTGAGGGCTTGCAGCGCCGACCCGAACCCTATTATTATATACTATATATTGTATATTTCATATTATCTATTATATATTGTATGTTGTATATTGTATATTATAAATAAATGAGTAAATAAATAAATAAATATATATATATGTATATATGTATATATTCCATAGTATAATAAATCATTCCTTCTATTGCAAGCCCTACTTTCTGCTATGTGGGTACTTTGGACCCTCAGGGTTGGGCTTTGGCATCGTGTGGATCCAAAGTTGGGAGACGTGGGACCGGAATTCTAAGGTGCCTGGTTTTAGTATGGTTTTTAGTAATGTTGAGGATGTTGACATCTTGTGCTTCCGGGTTTGGATTTTGCTTAAATTCTGGCCAACATAGCGTGACCTAGGTGTTGTTCATAGACTGTAGACCCGAAGGTATACGACAAAGATGTTGTTTCGAGATCGCAAGAGTCTCCTTCGGGGTACCAAGGCAGGCCCAAGGCCAGGCTGCTTTCCAGTAGCCGGCCCTCCTCTGTCATAGCCCAGATGCAGATGATGATACTTCTCCCCCGCTTTTCGGCTTCTTCAACTCCCAAACACCCGAAACGATTTCTGATCACAGAACCATGAGGTAACGGGTACGATACATGTGGTCCACAACCCAAATCCTCAACCCCTAAAGGGCGTACTACACGAGCATGAACGATCATCACTGAATCAGCGTCGTCGTAGCTTGCCCAGGGCTACTACGTCAAACATTCCACTTTTAAGATTTAGGGCATAGGGTGCTAGGGCAGCAGCGCAAGCACCATCATTCTCAGCATCCTGACCACTATCATGGTCATAGTCCCCGCCATAAGCCAAAATTAGTGGAGGATTGAACGAATACTGCCGTTGTTGGCTGATTTAGACGGCTGCCCAGGCTACTTCAATCTGCGTGCGATCGCCGTGGGTGAGTCGCCTGGATCCAACCACTACCCCAGCGGAAGTTGTGAAGTCTTCCCCTGAGGGTATAAGGAAGTTATTAGCCAATTTTTCTTTATCTGGTATATAAGGTCTGTCTGTAATCAAACTATTTATCCAATATAAGGTCTGTGTTTCTTGCGTGTTTGAAGCAGAGAGATCCACCAGTGCATTCAATATGGGATCCCAATACGGCTTCTGTGGTGCTTCTTTAACGTGTTTTGATGCTTTCTGGGTACTTATATACCTGGGAAGTCGCGGCGTGTCGGCCGAGGGAGAGAGATTTCCTAAGGGTATTGGTTCAATGTTGTTGTTGATTTGTTTTTGATCCGGGAACCTTGTAAGGCTTTCCAGGTACTAAATTTCTGGGAGGGGGTGGGCCTTGTTGCAGATCAGACTGCAGCTCTGCTAGAGACCGCCAGATCCCATAATCCAACATCTGCGAGACTCGAAACCCTGGAACATAAAGCCGACTAGCAGAATCAAAGCAATTAAGCTTCGAAACCCAAACCATCCCATGCACTGAGCCTCGAAAGCTCCAAGGCCCCCAATCCAAGGCCCCAGACTCCTCTGACGATGACACATCAAAGCGCGTTCAGCAAAGCCCACAACTCAAAGACAAAGGCCTTACCACCCATTAAGAAAACCCTAAACCTCTGTAGAACAGC